GCCCCCAGCCATTTTCCTCCCTCCCTCCCTCTTTCTTTCTTTCTTTCTTTCTTTCTTTCTTTCTTTCTTTCTTTCCTTTCTTGGTTTTACTTTCCTTCCCTTTTACATGACGTGTTGGTGAGGGGATGTTTTTGCAATCCATAACACCTTGGGGTGGCACAGTGATTTTCCCCCTTTGCGCTCATCATTTCAAATTGGCAGAAGTGAAAAAAACTCATAGATTATCTTCTATCATGTCTGAGAGTTTGAGAACTGAAAACAATGGCTGTATAAAACTGCCCTTAGCAGCTCACTGGATTACTCAGATTGGTTCAGATTCTGATGTAACATTTGGGAGAATCCATGTTGTGGTGTTATAACCACCTTATACTGCTATCCATGCAGCCCAGTCTTTGCCATCCAGGTGCATTAAGAGACTGGAGTTCACAGTAGTACTGTACTAGTAACTGTTTTGTCAAGAGAAGACATGTTTTTGTAAAGACAGAGTAGACAACAAGCTAAGCAGGTACTGGCTACCTTCCCTTCTTACAGACACCTAGCAGAGGTCCTTGTATGTGTACCGTTGTCCCCTTCCCAATTTTTTATATCCCTTGAGCAATAATCAGTCATTATTCTCTTGCCATTGAGCATGTTCATTCAGCTGATTTGCCCACCCTCCTATCAAATAAAATTCTATTTGATGTAATAAGTATTAGGAGTTAGATATGGCTATCAATAGACATTAATCATGATGTTTATATATTGTATCAGTATCTAAGGTAGTATACTCTCAATAGAGTTGCCAAGAGAATGAACATGAATAGGGTGGTTGTCTGTTATTCTGTATATCCCCTTCATATTTCAATCACTCATCTCTACAATCACCTTCCTATTTCCAGGACTATATAAAATGCAAATAAGCCCTAGGGAGATGAATGTGGAACAGCCTTCTTAAAGTTAGTGCCTTCCAGGTATTTTGGACTTCAGCTGCCACGTACGATTAAAATTATGGGAATTAAAGTCCAACACATCAGGAGAGAACCAGTTTGGAATGAGGATGTTAAGGAACACCAATGAATTAATGCCTGGGGAATGTACCTACCCTGTCATCTGGGAACAGTTTGATCCTGTTGGGCTTGAGGAAGTGGACAGGGTCCTCTGGACCATAAATGCCACCATTTGTCAATTAGATCCAGGCCCCTCCTGGCTCGGGAGGGGATGTGTGGGTGGGTCCAGGCAATGGTGAATTCATCCTTGATGGAGGGAGTGTTTCTTGCTGCCTTAAAGAGCCACTGATGCACCCCCTCCTCAAAAACCCATATAGGCAGTGCATGTGTGCTTCAGAAGGTTTGAGAGGCAAAAATAGTGGCTTTGTGATTCCTTTCCATACTGGAGACTCATGGTTTTCTCCAATAGGGCCTACAGCTGAAGACAGTGACAGCACCTCTTCTGGAGATGCAGACTGGTACGAGAATATCCAAAAACCAGAGCAACAAATAGAGCAACCAGGAGATGAAAATTCCTTTGCAGGTGAAGAATGAATGTGTTAAAAACACACAGCCTTTAATTAGTCAATTGTTCATCAAAAGACATTGCAAAGCAAAATACCACAAAAAGCAATTACAGAATACTCTCTTTGTTTCCATCTAGTGGTTGTCCAGATTCTTGCAGCACATGAAAGCTCTAACTCTGGCCATCTTTTCTATATATTAGAAACAGACAAAATCTGTTGCTGCCATTCTCATGTAAGCATAGGTCCACCTCATTACAGTCCTCAGCATATGGCTATAGCCACAGCTGGGTGAAATAACTCTCTACCCTTCTGGCTCCCTCCAGATGTGTTGGGGCTACAACTCCCAGAATTCTAGTTTAATGTCAGAGCTCTCATCCCTGATATCAATACTTTTCTCCCATCCATTCCAAAAGATGACCTGGCTAGATAATTAGGTCACCAGATTTCTCAGCTAATCTCCAAACCTCTTTCTTCTGTGATACTGCCATTTGTTTCTTGGATCCTGAGGTGATTATTCTTCTTATTTCTTTGCTTCAGGTTTGACCACTTTTGCCAGACCTTTGTCAAACTGCTTGACTGGTTCTGGAAATGATTCATTTGACAGCAGTGACTACGATAACATGTGACCCTAATGACCTGGGCTACTGAAGGGAGACAGCCCCATGCCTAGTCTCTCCTTCAGAAATGGCCAAGGCTGGCAACAATGACCTGAGACCTGAGAGAGACAACTTTCCACACTTTCAGCCTTGAGGACTCAGCCCTGAAAAAGAAGATCAGAGGATCTCAGAATCTTCAGAATCTGCAAAGGCGCATCCATGACCATTCCCCTCCCTGATTCAATTAGAAATATGCTGCATTTATAAAGACACATATTTCCATCCTGTCTTATCATGGGAGAACCCTGTGGAGGATTAGCACTGAGCTCTGGATTTGATTCCCCTAATTTGATTTTGTTTTGTCAGACAGTGAGGTGCCATCATACCGAGATTTGTCTTGAAAATACCGTGTAAGCCATTTGAGCAGAATGTTCCAGCCATGTTGCCTTGTTAGTACGTTGATGACTTCTGGGAACCTCTCTTCCAGGAGCCAAAAGGCCAATTTTGTCCTTGAGGAAATTCTTAGCTAAAGGCCGGAGACTACTTAGAGTTTTCTGGGTAGCAAAGGAATGGTCTCATGGATGGAATTACTTGCCAATGCTGCTTCTCCTGAAGAAAGTTTGGCTGACCCCAAAAAGATTCTGAAAGGAGGGTACAGTATAGGTTTTTATATTGATGCCCTGGAGTAACTACACTATCAAATGCCAAACATTTATGGCAGGAACTGTCACCCCTTCGAGGTAGCTCAGACCAAGAAACCAAAGTTATGAATGCTAATACTACTTTTATTATACGAGTACAGTAACCAAATCTTGCAAGTGTGAATGCACCTCTCCCTTCCCTGGTTTTATGTTCAAGAGAACTAGAGTGGGCCGAGTCTGATCCGCTTTCTCAAATTACATTCCTGCTTTGGAGTCAGATTTATCTTATCTGACTGTTATCTTGGTTGCAGCTCTTCTTCCTGTTATTCTAGGTTATTCTCCCACCCCATTACATCAACATGAAAAGTTTAAACCCATGCCAGATGAAGCATGTGTGTGCGTATGTCTAAGCAAAATTGCACTGCCTCATTGATAGATATTTACTGTGTTTGGGCTGTTATCTTCCCACATTTTCTAATTGTTTTTCTAATCACAAAAAAATCCAAGAAGGGAAAGATTAAGGAACTGCAGAGTTAAGCACCACACAGCAAAGCACAGGCTGTGAATGAAGAAAGTTAAAGGCTGCTTCCAAATCAGTTTTGTGTGTGTATGAGAGAGAGGCAGGGCAAGTGTGTCATTGTGTTGCCTCATTCATAGAATTGTAAGGGAGAGATCCAGACACCAACTCTCTTATGTTTTCCCACCTCTTCTCCCACCAAGGAGGGAGGCACAGGCTGGCTCGGCCATATCTTTACTGTCCACTTGGAAATGCCCTGTCTCAATGACCTGGTTCACACATCACACAAAGCTAGGGCTACCACGTATCATCTACAAAATCTAGAAAACCACTAAATGATAGCAAAGAGACAGAGTTCTATGCTTCTTTGCTGCCATTCAAGTGTCATATGAATTTTTGCAATCACAATGTAATTTGTTTGATTTTGGCCTAATGTCTTATCTGTTTTCCATCATGGCTTGAAAAGGATGGTTTATGGTTTGATGTACTGCAGGAACTAGCCTACTTTGGTTGATTCAGTAAGCCATATTTAGGCAAACTATGACTTAGCACGTCATGCAAAGCTAACTATACTATGGAAAATTTCCCTTCTCTTTTTGTACTTGGGTAAAGGAAAAGGGCAGTGATGTTCATTTCTTTCATAGCAATATTATTGGTCTTCTCTGGGATGTCTCTGGGATATGTGGAGATCTGTGATTTCATGAGCTAGAAGTAGAACAAAGCACTGTTCAAAAAAGTATTGGTTTGGATGTCAAGCATGAGGCCTTTCAAAACAGAGTAAGATGCACAGTTGCTGGAACAGGAAGACTCTAACATTAGCAGTCATATAATTGATGAGACCTCAATATAAGCATAATATATGTCTAAAGGAAACTGTATGTATTCTTATTACTCATCCTAGCAGTATGAGCTAGGCTGTTGCACTTGTGTAATTACCTGGAGAAAGAAAGAAAGAGAGAGAGAGAGAGAGAGAGAGAGAGAGAGAGA